GGCACGAGAAGTGCAAAAACGCATAATCGCACCGGCCCGCCTGGTGCGTTCCAGCCTGGGTTACTGATAGCGATATTCGCTTAGGATTCATTTCCGCTCTATAGCGATTGCATGCTACACACTGAGGGAGTGAGCTGGTTGTTTGACAGCAGGTGGACATCTCCGCTGAACAATAGCGAACATCTGAAGTGGTCGTCCGAAAGCAGCGGAAGTGATAACAAAAGCATTTTCAGTTGACGCATGCATATGCAGTAGGGCCGTCAGTGACGACTGCCCTCTCCCACATCCCGGTTCCACTCTTCTCCCTCCCTCTATTCACCTCCGGACCGGTGGGCTGTTAACTCACAACACGCGTTGTCTGTGGATCAAGGAAACAGGAATTGCCTAAATGAGTGTACTAATTGGCATCAGCAGCGAATTGGCGCCCTGGCAGCTGAGCCGCTCGGCAGATTTTCACCCGCTCATTCCCTTTCAAGCTCAATTCCTCAGTGCCAAGCTGCTCGTTCCGCCCTGCTTTGTTTCCTAACAAGTGCGTCCGCACGGACGGATCACTGCCAATGGCTCTGAGCGACATCGGTGACGATTTGTGATGAATGCTCCCACCGTGCTGTCCACGGCACTTTTCGTGTTAGTTTTCATTCAGATCTATTGTCACTGTCAGCACCTTTCTGTGCTTGTGAAACCGACTAAACGGATCATTTGACCTCTGAGGAGTTAGTCCTAGACTAAGCAAATAACAGCAGTTCGATTTATTTCAGTGGAGATTCAAGCATCTTTACTGGCCAAGCGGTCTTGGTCAGAAAATGCCAAAAACAGTACTTTGCAAAAAAAAAAAAACAATTAACGAAGCGCACCAGTGTAGCTGGTGCGATCATGCGTTTTGCACAGTTCCGTCCAGCGAACGTTTGCTTACTAAAAATATAACTGTTTTACGCTTTCGCATACGGAAAAATAGCAGATATGCTGACTGGCTCCTAAGATGAAGAATTTCCCACTGAAAATTTCACGTGCCAGTGCGTGAAAGCTGAATTTGAAAACGCGGATGAGGAAAATCTTTCCAAATTTCAACCTTTTAGTCTCCCGGCTCCCAAGCTAGTGAATTTCACATCAAAACTCTCACTTGCTCAAACGTAAGACCTCTGCATAATTAAATTTGAGTTTGTGAGATACCTGCAGCGACAGAAAATATCGTCCTAAAATTCCAGTTTCCTAACTTTCATGGTTCCCGAAATAATTTTCAGCCAAAACTTCACGGAGCCGTACGCGACACCCAAACGCACGGGAAGACTGAATTTAAATTTCCTGGGTTTCACTTAGTCAGGGGTCATACCTATAAAATTTCAGCTCCTTAGCCTCTGCGGTTGTTGAGTTAATAATTTTACCAGCCAAAACACTTACGAGGCCGTGCGTGTTACCCGGAACGAGAAGGCTGAATTTAAGTTCTTTAGATCGCAAGTGGGCAGAGGACATATCCACAAAACTTCAGTTTCTCAGCTTTCGTAGTTCCCGAGATAATAATTCTCCCCGCCAAAGCTTTTACCTGGCCGTACTTGCTACCCGTGTGCAAGGGAGGTTGAATTTAAATTTTCTGCATCCTACGTGGGCAGGAGACATACTCCACAAAATTTTATTTTCCTAGCTTTCCTATTTTACAAGACAATGATTTTACCTGCCGAAAATTTTACGGACCCGTACTTGTTACCCGTGGGTATGGGAAGGCTAAATTTAAATTTTCTGGATTGCAAGTTGTCAGAGGACATACCCGTAAAATTTCAGCTTCCCAGCTTCCGTGATTTCGAGATAACAATTTACCCGCCAGAAGTTTCGACGGGACGTAGGTGATACTCGAGGGCGTGGGAACACTGAATGTGCGTGGCCGTACGTGGGCAGGGCATTACCCTAAAATTTCAGCTTCCTGGGTTTCGCGGTTCCCGAGATAATAGTTTACCCTTCAAAAATTTCACCGGGCGTATATGTTACCCGGGGGTAAAGGAAGGATGAATTTCGGCTTTCTGGGTCGCAAGTGGTTAGGGGAAATACCCATAAATTTCAGCTTCCTAGCTTCCGTGGTTCCCGAGATGAAAGTGCGGTAACGTGGGACACATACACGCACACAGAAAATGCCGTGGCAATATGCGTTTTGTACTGCTGTTACACAGCACAAAACGCACAAAAAAACCCAAATTTTCACATGCACTGCCTGGAAAATGAACCCATGATACCCAGTGACGTCCAAGTATAAAAGGCAGCACAATCCTAACAGCTTTGCCGTACGTGTGAGATTTTGTGAAAAAGATAGTTGCTCTTTTTAGCCTCAGCAGCAAAAGGAGTTTCTCGTTCGCCTTGCTCGCCCTACTTTTTCCTTAATCAAATGCGGAAAAAACCCAGTGATCAATGAATCGAAAATGTAGGACTTCATGTACTTTGCGAAATAAGGTGGATTGGCTGTCAAACGTGAATTCACTTTTCCATTTTCGCCTGCCTGCATGTGTAAAACAGCTGGTCTATGCATTTATGTATGTCTTTGTGTATGAATATAAATATGTGTTTAATTTTTACAGTTTGACTGCCAAGTGTAGTGAAACGGTATCAAAATATTAAAACTTTTCCTGCATCAGTAGCTAATACTTATCTAGCTGTTTTAACAGAAATTTTTTATTAGATGTTTATGTTAGAAAATTGGGAATATTAACATTTTAAAAACAAGGATGAGGATTTTATTTTAACTAAATGTCTAAGTGAACTATAGGTGAGAAGCCCGCCAGCAACCACTTGCTTATCCGCAGGGAATAATTTTAAAATCTATTTCCGGTTGGGGGCAATGTAACAGGTCACAAAGTGCAAGGCTTAAAATCCGACGCACGCTTCAGTGGTTTTTGGATCGATGTGGTGCCAATTTCAGTACGTGAGGCAAAAGGAAGCAAGGCGGGAAAAAGTGGCATTGTTGTATGGTTGCTAAAGCCCAAATACACCTCTGAGCCCAAATAAAACCTCTAAGCCCAAATAAAACACAAATCCTTTCAGTGTTTGTCTCTGGATTTCGCTGGCAGTAGCATCAATTCTGGAATGTTTCAATCACTATCCGAATTACTATCTCGGCAAAACAGGAAATCTTGTTGTTGTAAATGTTTCGAGCATATCTTCGTGTCTGGACCGCTGCCTTCAGGTTCTTTTCTTATGCCTTTAAAAACCCATAACGCGAGCGATCTTCTGAGCTCTAGAAACCTCTAAATCCCCGCAATTTATATTGTTTCTTTGGTTTTGATGCGTTTTGCGCATTTATGCTAATGCAAAAACGCGTTATTTGTGTGTGTTGTAGTGTATGCATGTGTGTGCGTCTCTTCGAGCATTTCAGCATCTTAAGTTGTCCCCAGGAACGCGACACTAATTTTCGTGCACGTTTAAATCTCAGTAACGAACATTTGGCGGCTTTGCTGGGAAAATTGCTAACTCTGGAACCAGGTAAGCCAGGAAACTGAGATTTTTAGAGGGATGCTCTCTGCTTGTGTGTCCCTACGTAAGCTTGGTTGACAAGTACAGACAAGTGGAAGTTTTGGCGGAAGCTCAAATTTTTGAAGGACGTTCCCTGTCCAAGTGCGATCCAAAGATTTCAAATTCAGTTACTTGGCACACCTATTTTTCATAGGTGGACATATTAGCTGACGGGAAGCTTTCCAACTTGGATTTCGTCATCCTCCTTTCTTGATATCATTGTAAAATATGCATTATTGAATGGCCGATCACCGGAAGTTGTCCATAAAAAATTTGCGACAATCATGCACACTAAAAGTTAAGATTTCACGCGGACTGTTGATACAGCAGTACCTTCCAGATGATATTCTTTCTTCCCCTAAGTAAATGAGAAGGCAAAGACATTGCCAAAACGAGTGGACATGTTAAACTGTAAGTTAATAATCATTACTCTACTAATGAATTGATTGCTTCAAGATTCGCGCAGAAAGCACGATCGCGCCAGCAAGCCTGATGCGTCGCCAACTGCTTCTTATTTGGCAGCACATCCTGAAATGTGACAGTTGCGAATCTGTTTATAAATTTTTTTTTAAGTCGGAAATTCTCTACGGTTTTGTGTGTCGATCAGCGATGGTAGACAGGTTGCAGAACGATTGTGTACTAAGCAAATGGAGTCCATATTTGAGTACATCAACCAAATACTATTCCAATGCTCCTTCTTATACAGATTTTTACCAAAACATTTGCATATATCCATCGGAGCAGGTAGTCTTTCTTTACTACTAAACAATAGAACTCCTAGTGCACTTAAGGAAGTACATAAGAAAATCGCTCTTCAAACTGATTTCATTCGATCAGAAACATCGATTTGAAAAGTAACCTTTCTGAGGAGCTGCTCTAGTTCTTGCTCTGGACTATTTTTCACGTTTTGATTCACGGCCCATTTTATAGCTTTCATTCTCCAATTCACCACTTAATTTGGTATTCTTTCACTAATTTTGATGACCTCTGTACAAATTTTCACTGTGCTGCATAGCTCTTATGTCCTCTGCTCACAAAATCTCGCTGTAATCCTTGGCATCGCTACTAGTTATGCTGCATTGCGCGTTGATTATATATCGTTAGGCCTGCGGTTTTCCTCCCCGCATTTGGAGCACACAGCCTCATTTTGAAATCATTTCCGATAGAAATCCAGAAGGGAATCGAACTTGAAACCAGTTGTTCCTAGTAATGACTGTTTTTAAAAGAACAGGCGCAATCGGATTTTAATGTGGTACCAACCAGAACAACAATGTTGCCGCGGCAAATTTCGAGTATCAACCAAGCAGCGTTATATCCAGAAAAAACAACAGTTCGAAATGTGAATCCCGAACTGCTAGCAGCGTCAAGTTCATTTAACCCAGCTATGGGGAGAAATAAACTGCCACTAGGAGCGATACTTCGTGGTACGGCACGTGCGCCAAGCATCGTCAGCCGAGCTACTTACAGGTTTGCGACTAATCAAGTTGAAGCAAAATAGCTGTGCCCCACTTTTCATTCCTTCGGCCGCAATTTTATTTTGCAATCGTATCGTAAAACTGAAAAAAGAGATATTAGCTTATACCAAATATAGAATAAAAATTAAAAACGATTTTTGGACTAATAATAGACAGGTGAAATAATAAATAGGGGATGTTCAAATAAAAGTAAGGAACAGGAAGAGCCTATTATACAAGTTTATAACAATTATGAATTATTTCCCTTCTCTACTATAGCATATAACTGAGGAGAAATACTGAACTGTACAAATCCCTATTCAGTACCACAGCTGGGCCTCGTTCAACACATGTGAAATGTTAGTCCAGCAAAAGCGTCCATGATGAGCGCATAATCCGAACAATTACAAAAAATGTATTGAGAGGTTAACTTTTTACTTTGTTAAGTCTTTCGAATTTTATAGTGTCTGACCGGACTGACGTCTTGCATTTCTTATCCTGCCGATTTAATTAATGGCCTCAGCATTCCTCTCCCTGGTTCACAATTATTGAATGAAATTTAGTGCTTCCCAGCTAATACTTTTGAGTTATTTCAACACTTTTTCAGGTCACGTTTTCACGCCGTCCTAGTGATTCTGGCCGACTAAGCGAAGTGTACCCTCACCTTGCATCCCCTAATATACCAGCGATGATGATCAATTGCAGGTACGTCAAACGTACTCTGACAACACCGCCGCCAGATCGCGATTCTCGACATTATTATGCTGATTACGAGAAATATAAGAGCGGCGATACCGACGATGTTGTTGACTATGACAGTGATAATGATGACTATAAGGAAAATGAAACGAGTGACGATACGTCGATGTTGTCTAGTGATGATCGTATCGAACCTGCCAAGAGATATACAGGAGCTCGTCGTGCTGCTGGTAACCCACTAAGGCCTGTTCGGACAATAGAAAGTGCTGCAATCAGGCCTGGTCCTGTCGCGACCCATCCTAGTTATTTGTATCTGCCTGCACCCTTAGCCAGGACTCCTCCTTTTTCCACTACCACAACTACTCAGAGTACCACGACTATTACACCTGGGCCTACTTCGGCCACAGTCACGACAGTGCATTTTGAACCAATGCCGATAAATATTCCAAGCGAAGAATGGAATAAATCCACGCGTGACACGCATTTGTCGATCCACCATCAGAACTATACCGTGAGCATCGGTGCTGATACTCGACAATCAATCCGTAGCAGTCTGCTGCAACAGCTCAAGTGCTTTCAGTATATACCAAATAGGTCGTTTTTGTTCCATTTCCTTATTCTAAAAGCAAGCTACTTTTTATTGGAGCAACTCCTTTTTGTTCAAATTCTTCAAAAATGTTAGCCGTAGGTTGGAGAACTCGCTCAGTGCTATTCATTTTTGTTCACTTTTGCATTGATGAAGTGCAAAAGCGCTTATTGTCGGAAATGTCCGCGCAGATTTGTGTGTGTGTGTGTGTGTTTGTTCGCACTTTTTGTCATCCAGTTTCAACTCGAGAACCACAAAAGCTGGAGGGCTGAAACTTCAGGAGCATGTGTCCAAACTATGTTTTAAAATCATCACCCGCGTACGCTCTTGGATTTTAAGTACGGAGGGCTTAAGGAATATACAAATTTTTTGGCGACAAGACGATCTCGGGAAGCAGACAAAATAGAAACTTAAACTTTGCAGGGGTATTCTCTGTGCATGTGTGAGCTACAGTTTTCGAATTCAGCCCCAAGGATTTGACAGGAAAATTACTACCTCGTTAACCAGAAAAGATGGAAGGCTGAAATTTTAAGGAAGTACTCCACGTTCACGTACAATTCAAAGATTTCAAATTCGGCGCGCAGGTACGCGTGGTATTCACGTACAGGCATGTGAAGGTTCTGGTGGTAAAATTACTAACTCGGAAACCAGAAAGGCTGGAAAGCTGAAATTTTGGGGAAATTCTCCCTGCCCAGCTACAACTTAAAGATTTTAAATTCTGCCTCCAGGTCTGCGTGGCTCTCAAGCATGGACACTTAAAAGTTTTGGCCGGAAAATTGCTCACTGAACAGCTAGGTTATTTCCGAAGAAAGACCGTTAAACGAAAATTGTTCATTTTCTGTTCATTATGCAAAATTTACGATAATTTACGCTTGTGAGCGCAAAAGGCAGATGTAAAGTAACAATCATTTATGCAGTTAACTACCTGAGTATTTCAAGTGTGGTGCAAAAATGCAAAAACCGGTAGCCTGGTGCGTCCCAGCCTGGGTTTACTTATGGACAGTGTCAGTAAAGTAGCATATATTATTGCAGTTCATAGATTGTGCTTTAAAATGCGATTTCATCAGGATTTAAGCAGAACAGTAGTTTCCGAGAGTTGGGAGTTACTTTTAACTATCAACCATTAGACTTCCTCAATTTAGGACACAGAGGGCAAAAACGACTGCGTTTTCTTTTTCTTTAATATAATGACATTCACAATATCATAATTGTGATTTTCAGGCGACTACGTGGCTACGAGCAAGAGACAATCAAGCCAATTGGCCTTCAGGACTGCCTTTACAATTGCATTTTGCGTGTGACTTTCCTATGTCTTAGCGTCAACTACGATCCACACACTAAAGCATGTCTTTTTACTGAAGTCATTTATTTTACTCTTTTCAGCTTTTCGATGAAACTTTTTAATATGCTGAGCTTCATGCGAATTTTATGCGTTTTTGCACGTATGCAAGTTCCAAAACGCATGTGTGTGTGCTTGTGTGTTCGCACTTTTTGTCACCTACTTTCAACTCGAAAATCTGAAAAGCTAGAAATTGAAACTTCAGGAGTCGTCCCCACTACCTGTGAAATCTCCCATTTTAATGTTATCATTCGCATATCCCTCTGTCCCACGTACGAATGCCTCAAAAAACGTGCAGACTTTTAGACGAAGAAGCGAATTTCGAGAACCAGACACGGTAAAAGGCTGAAATCTTGCAGGGATATTCTCTGTGCATGTGTGAGATAAGAATTTCAAATTCAGCTGTTAGGCGTGCGTGGTTCTCAAATACGGCACGTGAAAATTTTGGAGGGAAAATTGCTGATTCTGCAACCTGAAAAGCCGGAAGGCTGAAATTTTACGGGTATATTTCCTGCCCACGTACAACTTGAAGATTTCAAATTTGGCCCACAGTTACGCGTAGTGCTCACATGCGAAAGTTTTGGCAGGAAAATTAGTAATTCGGGAGCAAGAAAGGCTGGAAAGCTGAAATTTTACGGGGCTGCTGCCTGACTAAGCACAACTTAAAGATTTTAAATTCAGTTTCTAGGTATGCGTGGTACGCGTCAGTTTCTAGGTACACTTAAAAGTTTTAGCGGAAAAACTGCTTGCTGAATAGCTGGATCATTTTCTAAGAAATATCGTTAGATAAAAATTGTTCGTTTCTTTTATGCAGAATTTACGATGATTTTACTCTAGGAAGCGCACGAAGTAAGTGTAAAGAAACAACCATTCACGTGCGTTAACAACCTGATTACTTTAAGTTCGTGTAAAAACGCATGATCGCACCGGCACGCCTGGCGTATTCCACTTTGTTTTCACATCACCGATGAGATGTAAAACCCATACTAACGAAAGTGTATGTGTATGTGTGTTGTGCTTGCATGTTTGCATGGGCGTTTCTTTTATCACCCGAAAGCTGTTGCGAGCGAAAAATAATTGGTCAACGCACGGGCTGCCAGTGCGAAGATGCGTTTTTTGCATAGTTCCCCGCAGTTTTTGTTGCTACCGGCACCGGCTTTTTCGG